AGAAAATAATTTAATAGTACCTCACTTCATCACACTCATAAGCATGTACACACAAAGCGAGGGGTGGACGAGAATGTTAATTCATCATTTATTTACTTGAAACTTAAATATATTGCAAGTACCCGAAAAAACTCGAATACTCGAAAAACTTTGAGTACTCGACTTTTTCCGACTCGACTCGAACTCGAAAATTCTGGTACTCGCTCAGCCCTACTCAAAACCTACAGGATGGTTATCAAATACACGATGGGATACGAATTTCCCATCGATTTGAAACTCGTAAGAAAAGAGAGGAGCTAAAGCGATTGCGACAATGACTTGGCCTCAATCAGCCAAGAAAAATACAGTTTTGCAACGATGTTTCCGGACAGGAATAAAAATGGTGCGAATTCTCGCTCTCCCGTGTAATCCAATCAAATTCACGGGCTATAATTCACGAGCGATTAACGAGTTGGTCGCTCGACGCGCTCTACAATACACAAGTATAGTAATAATGTGTACGGCGCGCGGCCCATATTGTAGCTGCAGAGACGGTTTCAAAGTCATATAGCTGGAGAAACACGTATATGAGTGCAGCGTACAAATACAAGGTATATCAGCTCGTCGGCTCGCGCCACTGCAGTAAACTTGCGGTATATACACGAGTTGATATTACGAGTGAGCGAAGAGAAAATTTAACGGGTTTAACGATCCACGTGCAGTCGCACGAGGGGGAGAGAGAAAGAGAGATGCGAGTCGAAAGAAGGAGAGAAGCAGTGGCAGCCTATGGGGCAGTCGGGCGCGCGGGTGGGTGTCTCGATTACCGCCTATGTGTACGCGCGAAAATTTACGACTTCTTGACTTGGAAGTCACGTTCGCTGTACTGCTCGTTGTGGTGGCTGCTGCCGTTGCTGACACAGCATCTCTCTCTCTCTCTCTCTTGTTCTTTCTCGTCCGATCGGTCCCCGGGGCAGCTCGATTTATACCATTCTCATATCCATACCGAGTCGCTCGAGAGAAAGACAATATATGTGTCTGCGGTATATGTAAGCATCGTATGCAGCAGGTCTTGTACTTAATGCATTTCGAGCGCAAGATGATTCATAAACTAGTTCGCACCCTCTCGACCAGATGCCTGTCCGTCTAATGTTTTGCTTCGCAGGCGCGCGAGCCGAGCTAATTAGTCCTTCGCTTATGGCAGTTTATATCTTTTTTTGCGCAACGGAAATTTCTAACGAATTCCGCAGACACAGCCGATTCGCTGATATTACGCTATAATGTATAATACTAGGATCAAGATCGAGTGGCGTGCAGGTCTTTGCGATGATTCATGCAGCAAAGAATTTCATTGTGCTCCGTTCGCGATTGGCCATACATCGGTGTCTGCGCTTGTTTTTGGCTCGCCGAGATGATGAATAAGTTGCTTCAGCGTTCATAATAACCTGCTCCTATCTTATATACCACAAGGATGAGTTTCGCCAAAGACACTTTTTTGTGTATTATACTTTCATTATCTTATCAGCTGGATCATGCCGATTCATGTCATCAAGATGCGTACAAGATATGATTCGCAGCTATGAGACAAACTTCTTTGTACCTTGTGCGTTTTTTTACCTTCTTATTTACCAAAATATGCGGGTACATATTTATTCTGGACGCTTCTTTGAAATTTGTTCTTCGTCAAGCGAAAAGAATATGAACATTTTCTGCGTGCTCTCGATTATTTGACGAGTTAAAAGTCATAAGACTAAATCAATTTATCATTACATCTTGTAATTTTCGATGATTAGACTTCTCGAGAATATGGATGAGTATAATAAAACCACAAAATATTTATATCATAAAGTGTCAAAAGTCAAATGCGAATGAAACATTATTTTTTTGAAAATGAATGTGTATATTTAAATAAATCCATCAACGCTCCATCTATAATATTAACGCAATTTAAACATTTTTCAGGGTTACCTACATAAGCTTTACTGCGTCCGCTAAAAAAAATTTTCCGTCCTTCTCGTGTCTCGCAAATATTTGTAATTTTTTAATTTTGAAAAAAATGATGTAACGAGGTGTCTGGGAAAACAGGTCTAATAAAGAGACTGGAAGAAAAAATTGTGAGTTGAAATCAATCTTATAAATTAAACCTTCAGTTATTACCAAATTAAAACTTCAGTTTATAACTAATTCAACTCTTTTAATTTTTTGTTAATTATTGAACTTTTAATTTATTAAAACACTGTATTGAATATTAAACATACCTCAAATAAGATAGAAAAGCAATTGAAAACCTTGCAAAATATCCGTGGCTACAAGAAGATGCATAACGTAAATTTTTATCCAAAGAAGATAAAAATAATCCATAAAAGATAAATTCATCATCGAATAAAGCTCGCGAGTAACAAAATATGACGTATTTGAGGAGCGGCGATCAAATGTTAAAACTTTTTTTCTCGCGGCCAAGAAATATTTTTGTCACTGCGAGTAGAATCAATGTCGTTTGCTCTCGCTTGGACACTCGAGTCGGAAAATCGTTCATTCGCGAATACTTTGACACGACATTGAGCAAGCTAAGCTCGGTGTAGTTTCGTATGCTCTGTGTAAGATGCATCAAGTGCAANGCACCCATACACATATACACACATGCTTATAATGTATATATATATATATATATATATTATGTAGTAAAAGCAAATAACAGAGCAAACCGAGATAAATGTCGAAGGTTAAACGAATGTAATGTCACACGCATGCACTGCTCATGAATTTAGAACTAAAAATACCTACTCGAGCTTGCGGCTCTTATCTGTTACGCGCGTCAAAGCTCGATCATGACGAAAAGCTCGCACGCGTAGTAAATTGTCAATCGGTTGAATGTGGTGAGCACATTCCCTGCAGAACACAACGAAAGAAGAGAGAAAGAGAGATAGAGAGCTGACGATCAAGCGGCTACACGCGGACACAAATCGCGAGCCTTGTACTACTTCCGAAAAATAGTCTTTAATTTCCGAATCGTGTACGCGTGTTTATGAAGAGCGAGTATAGCGAGAAAAAATTTTTGATTCATTGCCAAAAATCCGCGTCGCGGCTCGGCTGTGTCTTACGCGAGGCCCGCCTCGACTGCCACGCAAATAATGCACACGAACTTAAGAATTTGCCGGATTATAAAATCAGCTCGCACTTTATCGGATTTGCTTGGATTTCGACTCGCAGCAGCTAATCGTGCTCGGGCAATTAACAGCGCCGTTTTAACCCTCCTATACCTTTCAAACTATGGACTCTATCGATCCTATTAAGGAATATATTGTCATTTAGGTATATTTAGTTATAGATATGCTGCTAAGTGGATGACCGACACTTTTCGTCAATAAAAGTTTATTTTTACGTTTATTTTTTGTTTAGATTTTTTCCGCGTAAAAACTTTTTTTATTTTTTATCGTATAGTATAAAATTACTGCGCTTGACGCTTGTAAAGCTATATCTGATGGGGGGACATTTTTTAAAAATAACAAAAGTTTGATTCATCTCATTCGTGAACTCGTGCGTGTATCAATAACAGAGTCGATTCGAGAAAAATAATAAAATATGATTATATAGCATAATCTCATCGTTGAAGCTATCAGCTACAAGCGCGTGTATTTTTGTTCTTAACGTTTGTCTTTGATTACTTGTATTGGCAAAAATGAAGTGTCCTATTTGTATATGTTATAAAGTAAAAAAAGTAATAAAATCAGGATAAGCCTTGATGTATTAATCAGACGATGGCATGGACCCTATTATGTATACTTGAAGCTTTTTAATGAACGTTTTTCATCCTACTTGACAAAGCATCATTCAAATGTGGAAATTTGATGACGAAATAGGAGTAAAGTGGCGATTGCATTTGAAAATCTCTATGGCATAGAACAATAACTTTGCCAATCCTCAATATAAGTGTGACCCGTGTGTTAAAAAAATAATCTCTGTAATTCTTTCATTGATCTCTATTAAAATTTGTAATCATGTTTTGAGTTCTCCTTACTTTCACTCAAATGTGCGATTCGTTCTTTTAACTTTGTTTGTTTTTTGTTTGTCCTGAAATGAAAACATTATTTTGAAATTAGCGTTCTGGATCGACGTTAAATATTGGTCTTACAATAAAGAGCTCACAATGATACATGACTTTTCAAAATGCTTGTCTTACAATTTATTTTCAACTCTATTGAAAAGCCATCACAATTAAAACATCGTAAGTTAAATTTAAAAATAAAAATAACAATGTGTCAATAAATGTAATATGTGACAATAGACATACGAAAAGAAAAGGTCGATCAGAGTCGTAAAATAAGAAAAGGTCATGGAAGCCCGACCTATAAAACGTCCGTAAGAGAAGTATAGTAAGCTGGAAAGGCTTAAAATGTATTTGGTCAGATGATTATCGACGTGTACTGTTATACATCTAATGTCGTTGAAAAAGGTCCAGGCATACATGTCCTGGGAGCGCAGTAAAATTAGCAATCTCCGTAGGCAACTATGTATGCAGTGGTGGTTTCTCGAGGCGAGATCGTCATCGTTGAGCTCCGCAGTCGAGCCGAGCTCGCGTCACGTTCGGGCCTTTTATACCTCGTAGCCAGTGCTCTTTGGGAAAAGTAGAGCTTAAACAACAATAACAAGTTGGGCTGCAGAGGCAACACGTTAGCTAAATGCACAGTTTGCAGACAAAACATGGCGCGTTCCTCTGGGCGAGATCCCCACTTCTACTGCAATCCTTTATGAGGCGGATTGCACATTTGCTGGATATAAAAAGTGGTGTGTATGGGCACTAGGCAGCGTCTATATAGATCGCTGCAGCTGGTATCTTTGCGGCTGGTAGCACAGCGGCAAGTCCGAAAATGAAAGGCTTATTCCGCGCAGGCGCGTTAACAATCCATCCACTCGAGTCTCGCGCGCGCGCGTGTGTGTGAGAGAAAGAGAGAGAGAGAGAGAGTAAGAGTCACCGGCTCCGACGTCTGTACGTGTGCGATGTGTGTGTTGGTTGGTCGGTCGGTTGGTTGCGGCCTCAGAAGCGGTGGCGCTTGCCAGCGACTCGGCTCGAAACTCGCATCTCGCCAGACGACTCAAATCGTATGGAGAGAGCGCCGAAGACGGGGCCGCGCAACTCTTAATTCTGCTCGCTACTCGCTACCGATTCTCTCCTCTTTTTTCCGCAACGCATACGAATTCTGTGTCTGGCTGCCTGCTGCCGTGCCTGCCTATACGTAGAAGCTAGCCAAAGACGACTGGCAGCTCACCCACGCGCTCACGCCGATATAACCAGTCGACGCTGTTCCGGCTACGACGTCAGTAGCTGCGCTGCTTTCGAGTTTCCATTGCGATAATAACAAAAGTGCTACGTACGTGCCAATTTATTCGATACATCAATTTGTATAATTTCATATAGTGCAACAAAAGGATCCCTTCGAAAGCGCATCGACGGTGCGACTTAGTGTGCTGATTTCGTTGACAAGCAAGAAAACAAGACTTCCTCGACGATACGATGGCGCAGTTGATAAGCGTCAAACTGTCGCGCTTCGACGGCTCACCCTGGGGCTTCAGGCTGCAGGGTGGCAAGGACTTCGGCACTCCGCTCGTCGTGCAAAAGGTCAGTTTTTTCTCTCTCGCTCAGCACAAAATTTACTCTTCGAACTTTACTCTCGAGCTTTACGAGCTTTATTCCTAACGTCTTCGACACCTTTTCAAATTTACCGCGTCTTTGTCCGTACGTAGTCTCTTCGATAAAAAATTTACATTAAGCAATAAAAAATTACTGATCGAGCTTCCGTCGACTATTCACGGCTGTTTCTAAATTTACACTCAAGATCGACAGTTTATTTAATTATTAAAATTTGTGCATATCTTGGCTTAACTGCGCTTGCTTGCTGCATTGTGTTTGTGTAATATGCATCATGCACCTGCTACTTGCACTGCACATACCGGTAATGACTATACGCGTGTAGCGAACAGAAAAAAAGCAGAAAAAAAAACAGCTCGTGCCGACGTCACTATATTTTAATACCTACTTTACGGCTTCGAGTACAAAAAATTATTGACATATTTATACCTATTACTCACTCGGCAGTTCAAAATGTGGGTATTTATATTGTATCGATTTATCAGCGAGTCGCCAGTTTATTTTTCAAGTCGCCTCCAGCCTAATCTATGCCAATATTACTCCGATATACACCAACTTATCGAGGCTTTTATCCCAAATTTTTGCCAACATTTGCTCGACAGAAATAAATAAACAAAATAAATAGATAAGTAGAGAGAGATGAGGGAATTTGGGACGTTACTGACTACTCTCGCGCGTGTGTTCATTCAAAGTTGAAAACTGCTGCAATATTAATCGTAGGCCAAAAATATAACAAAAGTCCTTTCATCCATTGAGTGGCTGTCGTACGGGCTTGTCTTTTCTCTTTGGACTCGCATATTCTGACTGTAACAAATTGCACGAGGCCAGGAATATTTTCTCGCGCAAAACTGAGACAAGTACTTGCGCGCGACTTATCTATACAGATGGGAGATTCTCAAAGTTGTTAAATATTGCAAAGATAAGCCTCGCGCTCGGAAGTTGTATATATGTGTATGCGACGAGGTGTACAATTCGAAAGTGTCGGCTAAAGCCAAGGAATTATCAGTCTTAAATGTTATGTCCGTTGCATTTGGCACCGGCAGCATTATTATGTAAGTTTAGCGCGCAAGCTCTCGGCTACACTCGCACAGCAGCGAACACTAATACCTGTCTTTTCTATTTCTCTTTCTCTCGCCTTACTACACTACTCTCGTTCGAATCATTCGAGGCGTGCATCGCTTTCGAACGGGCGTCGCGCGAGCTTTCGTCGCTGTCGAGACGATGATGCCTCGCGTCGCCGTCGACGTTGTTCACAGCAGCTCGAGCACAGTAGCTCGCATCAAATGCATCTATTAATTCAAAGGAACAAAATAGAACCTTCGAATTTGCCTATGCTTTCATGCGCTTGAGTCTGGATACTCGTGTGTGCTGACGTATTTGGAATTGCACTGAAATAAATATCGTTATAGAAATGAATATTCGCCACGTCGAGATGTCCACCGTGATAACGTCATTCGGGGCTTTTTTTGAAAGTATTAATCGGTCGAGAGAGATGATTCCGATATAATGGATTATGTTTTATTGCGACACGCGTCTCGAGTAGCGATCTTTCAAGCCCAGTTAAATAGTACAAAAGTATTCTCGTCGTTAGTCAAGAAATTGCCAAACGAAGCTTTTTATTTGCCAATGATTTTCCATGACGCGAGTGAGCGCCTCGACGCGAATACCGCTTCGATCTTATTAAAAATTCGATTGTTGAAAGCTCAGCAGGTTCGCTGAGCGAAAGTTTGCCCTTCCGCAAGCTCGGCCGGACTTGCATCGAGCGCTCCACGAGCAAATGCCGTACAATAATAGATTCGATAAACGCGCGGGCTCGAATGCGCGAGACGCGTCACTATACGCCCGAAACCGATAAGTGCCGTTTCGCGTTGGCAATGACGACGACGACGATCGTAATAAGAAAAGACGAGCATGGCTCGGCCATACTTCAAGGTCGAGCGAGGGTGGCTAGGTTATATATATACCTGCAAACCCACACGGACACGTTATATACAAACTTTTACAAGCGCGTTAAACGTATAGTAACGTGAAATCCGAGAGGGGGGAGAGATTGTTTCCTCGTCTCTCGTGCTTTTTCCAGGCTTCTTTTTCACTTCTTCTTCTTCTTCTGCTACTTCTACGCTCATTCGTCATTTTCATCGTCTTTGCTTTTTCACTCGTTTGTTTTATTCCTATGATACAATGTGGGTTAATTGACTGTTCTAAAATTGATTATGCCTCGTTTGATCGTTGTGTATGTGTGTATACACTGTATACGTCGCATAATCATTGGGCCACAATCTTGGAATAGGGCAGAGTTGGATTTTGGAAACGCGCAAATATCGATACGTACTTTAACTGAGTTGGAGGATAGCGATGATTTACGCGCACGATATTTTGCATGCAGGACACAAAAAATAAGGAAAATGAAATGTCGGAAAAAAAGGTACGAAGAGGTCAAGCGATGGTCTCGCACGTCAGCAGGGAAGAATCGCGAACGATCGTAGAGCGCAGCGCAGTTGACGAATGTAGGCCAGTCTTATTAAAGCGTGCGATCAGTCAGAAATTTCGCGTGGCTGGAAGCGCTGCGGTACTTTGGGTTGAATTTCGAGGCGCACGCGAGCGAGCGGACGACGATCGGTAGACGCGCGCCGAGCTTTGCGCGCTCGTGTGCGAGTGCATAATTTTTCCAGACGGATCGATCGCAAAATCGGTACAGCGCGAGCTCGCGTATTATACCTGTACGAGCGTATACGAGCGCGTACGTGAGAGGGGTGGACGAGCTTGAGCGGAGCATGCGTGAGCATCGGTATGTCTACACGCACAACGCCTCTGTAAATGTGTGCGCGCGCCTTGGATGCAGAAAGTCGCCGAGCTGCCGCAGCTGCCGTACTTTGCTTATGCGCCACGCTGACCCACTTTACATATTTCTTTGCCTGTGTGTGGATACGCACTCGCGGCCAGCCGCATGCTTTCGAGTGTATTATGCCTCGCGCGCACACACACACACACACACACACACACACACACACACACACACACAGACACGTGCGGACCTATAGGCAAGCGCGTGCGTCGCGCGATTATCTGCGTCCAGCGAAATTTCAGCTTTCAACGTTCGCCTCATATATTACGCTCGCGACTTACGTATACCTACATATGCACACGTCTTATATATTTTACCAATGCTACGTAAAATACATGAGATATATGCAACACATCGCATGTACCGCTCCTTACAAATGTACACGATCGGCTACTTTTTTCTCGCAAACGCGTTTTATATACATGTGTATATTAATGACTCACAAACAGCTCGTGTGCTAAACTTGTAAAGTAGGAAATGGCGCATAGTGGTCGAATAGTATCATCGACCTTTCCTATGATGTCAGATGTAGACACAGGGATCGATGCGTGCGCGTACGAGTGTATATTGTATGCGCGCAGCGCATTTTCTGACCGAAGCTCGATGCTCGCGACGGGGACTGTTGGCCGCGAGACACGCGTACGTGCCGATAGCTGAAACGAGATTCTTCCGCGAGTGGACGACTCAAAGAGCGCCGATCGGAACGAGCGAGGAGGGAAGAGCCCGCAACTTGGACCGGCCTGCAGTCCGATGCATCGACGCCTGATGCGGCCGGCAATTATTCATTTGCGCACACGCAAGTGCACTCTTACACATACGTCTCGAGAGTATTGAGATGTTGGCCAGCTATGTAATATTTATAAATTAAATACACGATCGTAACGGTTTTTGCTGCCAGTTGGTGGCCGCGATTCACCTTGCCTCGGATATTATTTTCCATAGAGGCAGCGAGCTTCGACGTACAGAGAACGTGAATGAAAAGGACTGCTCGGTGGTTGCTGCACAAAGTTTGTACACAAAATTTTCGTTTAAAGACGACGACGAGCTCACTCGTTCTCTCGCTCTTTCTCTCTCTCTCTCTCTCTCTCCCGGTAATTCGAGGCAAATTATTTGGGCGTTCTATTTCGAGAAGGTGTCTTTGCGAAAGCTTCTTCTTCTCCTTCTTCTCTTTCTCTTTCTTCTTCTTCTTCTTCTTCTTCTCGTCGTCGTCGTCATCGTCATCGACTTCTTGCATATACTACTATTACTACTACAAGCTGCTTGAGTCGGCAACACCGTAAACACTCGTCGAACGAATCTATATATTTTATTGATATCTATCGATAACATCGTTGCTCCTAACGCAACTTGTACGTAGCTACTATGGTTGCCTGGGAATTACATATTCGATGAGTCGACTAAAAGTATAGAAAAATTCACTATGGACGAAGCTTAGTTAATAAAGTTTAAAAATTCAGATGTTATTTTTTGAATTGACGAGTTTCACGGGCGAGCCGCACGATCGAAATATTTGTGCATTGACTCGACAACCAATGTTCTTATAAAAGAAAAAAGGTGCACTTACTCGAAGACGCATTCGGTGCTACCCTCGGATTACGCAAATTCAAACGAATCTCTGTGCGTCCAAGTCCAATCATATAAATGCACGTACATTACACACGCGGACTCGAGCGTGACGTGCGTGCGCAAAACTTTCACAAAAGCAGAGGACGCCAAAAGAAAAAAGAAACGACACGAGTAAACACTTAATCGCGAGTACAGGAAAGCCCTTTAAACGAAGCAACTCTCGACGTGGACTACTTTTTCGCTCGTCTGACGCGCCGAGCTTACACACACATTGCTTCGAACGAACTTTTCGTCACACGCGTATGCGACGACTGTTTGTGTGCTGCATGTTGCGGATTCGCAGTTGTTCCTTTGCCTTACATTGAAAATGGTTCCTTTTTCGCTCAACTTGAATTACCGATTAAGAGCTAAAACATGTTTAGTTGTCCGAACGTGCACGGACGAGCTTGATGCAAAGGGAGAAAGCCTGAAATATCGCTCCCCGTAGCGATTCTATATCGGTGGAAAAGCTGCATGCAACTCGCACAACTGCGGCTCTTCTGGACGATAGACGAAGCTG